CCAGAGAAGGGCCACCAAGATGATCAAGGGTCTGGGAAGCCTGCCATATGAGAATAGACTAAGAGAGCTGGGTTTGTTCAGCCTTGAGAAAAGGAGGCTTAGAGGTGATCTCATCACCATGTCCCAGTACTTAAAGGGGAGCTACAAAGAAGACGGAGACTCCGTTTTTACAAGGAGTCACATGGTGAGGACAAGGGGTAACGGGCACAAGTTACTCCCAGGGAGATTCCAATTGGACACGAGAGGAAAATTTTTCACAATAACAGTCAATCATTGAATAATCTCCCCAGGGAAGTGGTTGACTCTGCTACACTGAACATGTTTAAGACTCAGCTGGACATGGTGCTGGGCCATCTCGTCTAGATTGTGCTAGAAAGGTTGGACCAGATGATCCTCAAGGTCCCTTCCAGCCTAGTATTCTATGATGCTATGAAATCGGCACATGGCTGTGCTTAATACATTTATGCTGTAGAAAGCCTCTGGCCTGATGACTACGAAAAGATACCTAGACAGTGAAAAAAAAATAGTTCCTTATAGCACAATGAGACTTAAACAAAAATGGGAAATCAATATATAACAAAGCAACTGAAGACAATACTCTGACTCCTAAGTACTGTCGGGCAACCAACTACTATAGCCACAGTCTTAAAACTTAATATAGAACTGAACTCAGAGGAAGACTGTGTAACTCTGCAATCCCAGGAAGTTTACAAGCGTAGCAATAATTAAATATTATTACCCTTACCACATAGTTCACAGGCATGGTCCCAAGACTGATTAATTTATGGGCAATTCTTTCAACATGGTTTGTTCTTTAAAATGTCAGTTATTATCTGTGCAAGTGAAATAATAAGATCATAGATCTGGCCTCAAAAATCCACACATTAAGCTGTTACAATAACAGGGGCAAGTATTACCATTACAATGTAAGTTTTTATGAAGCCACAGTAGTCCTAAGCAAACACCACAATTACCAGTACTTACTGGCATCTATTTTATTTTATAGGTCACAGTAACTTAGGGCTATTAATTTTTTACTTTGAGGAAGAGGACGAAGTGGAGAAAAGAGAACAAGCTGGAGATATGGTTGGCAATCAAGAGATCACTGGGACTGTGATACTTTCATGAGGCAGAGGGAGTTGGTTGATCATGTAAAACCAAGTGTACGTAAACCAAGTCATTCAAACTGGCAAGTTTGCCAAAACTCAGACTTTACAAGTCTAGGAGGGAAAATAATTGCACAGTTCACTTTATTTCCATTGTTTCAAACAATCCACAAACTCAGGAAGACAGAATTATTTTAGAATTCTTTTCTCTGTAACAAAAGGCACTAGACGGATTTTTTCATTATGAAAAAGGGAAAGATGAAAGATACAATTCTGCAACCACGTGTTTTCCAGAAATCTCACTTTAAATGAAAACAGAGGACACAAGTCATTATGGAAACACTGAGGGTTTCCCCCTTGCAAGAACCCTAAGTGTCACTTACAAGACATTTAACATCTGTTAGTTTTCATTAAGGTAATATTTTTAGAAAGCTACTAGGAAGAGCTAAATACATTTAGAACTGAATTCCAGTGCATTCACGCAGCTACAATAACTCCACTTTGCCAAGCAATATGTCAAACACTTAACCAAATTAATTCCCTAATGCCACATGAAGTAAAGCTGTCTGTAGAAGTTTCCTGCTTTCCCACCATACTTAAAATAGAAGTGCAGAACAAGCACTTTAACAGCTTTTCACTTTAACAACAGTCTCATGTGTTTACTTGCTTGCATGCATTTGCAGGTAGTCAGAGCTGCTCTGCACACAACGACGTGCAAGAGGGTTTTCCAAGACTTACAATGTGATTTGAGCACGTGAGTCCCATTGAAAATCTCAGCTACAATAAATATTTAACGTAGCATGCCGTCAATTCATACAAATATCTAGCCTGATGAGCTATTATAAAAAAAAAAAATATTTCTTCCTTAAAAAAAAAAATAAAATAACAGCAGGTGGGATACAGTTCAGGTTCTAAAATACATTTTTAAAACACCACAGTATAAACCAGCTTCTACTCAAATCATTTGAAGCATTCAACCACTTCAGTTTTCTCTTAAGACAGAGGGATTCCATTTGTATACATAAACCTCAACATAAAATTCCTAAAATTAGAAATATTTGATTTTTTTCTGTTAACACCACCAAATTCCAACTAGATATTCAACGGGAGTTTACTGGCTAATACAGCTGGAAACTGTAATGTACAATATTCTATATAATTCTACTCAAGTTTAGGTCTACTGTGATCGGCTACCCTGATGACAGGCTTAAGAGGAGGTCACGCCTGCATGTTGTGTCAGGTAAGCGTGGTCATACAAAACAGCCTCTATAATTATCTGCCTTTTACTTTCACAAAAATACTGAGGAAAGCACAGAGAAAGAACATACTACAGCTGCACACAAACTCTCCACAACCATCATCAGATGAATGAATATTGATGCAGAATCAGCAAAACACAGACAACTAAAATGAGCAGACTGCGACTCCCTGGCCCTAGCTTCCCACCTCCCATTTGCATGTTTCAGATATGAGTTATAGCCCTACAATAAACCACAGCACTGTAGTCTACTTTACAATACTGTAAGCATGATACCCCTTCTCCCCATGCTCTTCCCTGCCCCAGCATTCACCAGAGGAAGGAAACAGAGGCTAAATGGATTCTCAAAAATGTCATGACTTGCAGGAGACTGCATCAGATCCTGTTCCTTGAAATACAGTTTAAAGAAAGAAGTCAGGGCATCAGACATTCTAGCTGGGAGGGAAAAAAAGAAAAAAGATGAACTTCTGAACCTGCTCAGCACAGATTAATATTTTGAGTAAACCAGATTTGCAATCACAGTTGTCTTGAAAAGCTATGAAAAACACCTACTTCTTCCATGTTTTTAACCCAAAAGCTGCAATTCTAGGTGCGGAATAAATGCCAGTTCTACAAAATTCTCAAAGTCTTCCTGCTACCCCTTCCTCTCTTCCACACCAT